ACTTATAGGTGTTAACTTTTTTGCGGCATCTGATTTATCAGTTCAGCCTTGAATGCCCTTCTCATCAGTTCGTTCCGTCAAGTAGTACTTGCGCTAGCTGGTTATCATTTGCTCTCGGACTCTGCTGGCGGTCGGCGTTCATCATGTTTCCATTCTGATAGCATTATCAGCATCGTGACCCATAGCGATAACTGTGTTCTATCATTCCGCAGTTTATGTCAGCTAGAGCAAACAAGCCTTCTTCAAAGTGCCCCCTGATCTTCGTCTGTGTTACCTGAAGGAAGCTAATGTGTCCTTCGTTGCGATTATTTACTACAGCAGTTGAGAGGATACCTTAAGATGACATGATGTTGATAGCCTTGCCGCAGTGTCAAACAGGGATAACATATTATTATGTTCATTATCGATGATAATTCAGTGAATTCCATGAAATATTTATTTTAGGCAGAATTATGCAATCATATGCTTAATAATCGCCTCTGCTTCTTCTTGTGGAAACTCAAAATATGTGCCAGAAGCAATATGGCTATGCTATTAAAAAATAATCGAAGCGAATAGTAACAAAACGAAAAGTAACGTGACAGCACTGAATAACTGTTTTGAATTGAACAGAATTCTCTACTTTCTTCGTATAATTTCATGTCTCTGAGAATATGCGCCACATTGGCGCACTTTATTTGAATTCCATCTATGAGTAAGCATAATACTGTTCATATCTGGTGGATGATTCTTATTAAAAGTATTCTCTAGGGAATCTGAAAATAATTGAAAGTATTTTTTTGTCGTTCGAATGCTATGGGAACACACTTGTTCTACAGCATGGTAGATCGCTGGGTGTTTCAGTAAGCATTTTACGATCTTGTGATATCTTAGCGTGGTTTCAATGCGCAAAATATGCCCTGCCAGTTCGTAATAAGGTTTCTTTTTAGGCTTACTGTTTCGAAAGTCAGTGCCTAACCAGAGATGACCAGTGTCAGGTGATTTGGGGCATCACGGGAAGTTCTGCCGCCCTCGAGTGCTATTCTCATAACACGCGTGGCGATCAGCATGGTAACTGCGGCATCAATCGTATCAACCATTCTTTCGAGAGGTGTCTTCCTAAGTAAGGGCATTTTATTAATTCTCTATATTATCTCAGACTAAGTTTTTTAAGACTAATTCATGGCCATTTTGAATAATTACGTTGTTTACTTGAGTACGAAGTACTTTCGATATTCTCTTATCTAAATTTTATATCGTGGGTTTCGAACATCACATTAAAATATTTCGGGTTCGCTACTAAGTTGGCGTTAGAGCTTGTTTCAATGAATGTTTCACAAATGACGTTAGCAGTTGTTCAAGGCAACATTAAGCCTTGTATGATTGTAGATTTTCCAAAATTTATACTTTCAGCCGCTGTCGGTTCATCGTTCGATGAATCCAACGAATGCTCAATATTCTACGCTGTCAGCTTTGGTTGAAAACCTTTTTTTCTGAAGCTGGAAGGAGGGGACACCATTCAGTGTGAGTGTAGTAAGAAATACTTTTGTCCACATGTCACCTATTTATCAATTGATAAATTTGGTGTCGTCAAATAGCCATCTTCGTTGCATCTGATTGTGTTTATCTCGCCATCAGCGGTTTTCACGTACATCACAAAATTTCCGGTATCCATAAAATATGCGAATGAAGAAAAAAGTTAAATTTCTAACCGTTGAGGAGTCGGTCATTATTAAATTTTTATGAAGCGTATGGTACGGCGCTGACTTCTGTTTCTGTGCCATCAGCCAGCAGTGTTATATTTAAGGTACAGTCGGCTGCAGTAATGCGACAATCATGGTGTGTAGTCTTCTGTTTCCTTCCCACAGGATGGTGCTCCTTTATCAGCCACGGGAGTAAGAAAGGTGAGTGACTCGACTAAGCTTGATCCCGGGACCTGTTGGTTCTGAGTCCGGCGCTCTTCTGATTGTACAGTATGGAGCTGCAGAGAAAGACATGACTTATATAGGTGCAGGATTCGAACTTTGGCA